CTCATTTAGGAGAAGCTGCAGCTCGAAATGAACTTGAATCGAGTGGAATGGAAGCTACTAATGAAACTTCACTATTTGCACCAGCAGCACGTGCCGTTGATGCTTTGCCTGAAGGTTAACTTTTTTCCACACAAAATCTAAATTACCTAATGTCCAATATTGCACTAATTTTCTTCATACTAGGATATGAGAGAGACTTAAGAGCTGTAACGGAGTAAAATCGATAAATTCAAGTTATATTTTCATCATCTTCTCTTCAGCACAATATTTCTTGAAATTTCTAAGAAACACAAAATTAGCGTACTAGAATGATAACATCGAACTAAAGCTTTGAAAGAACTTAAAAACAATATTCTGTTCTAAAACATTGATGTTAAAAGTATCGAACTGTTTGTCAAGCTTTGTAAGGGGAATTTTGAAAGATTTATTCATAAAATACGTTATAAAGTATGTCTCAAAAGCAAGAACTCCTACATACATCTCACTGGTTAAAAAACTCATGGAGAGGAGTAAAAGAAATGGCAGCGGAAAAGAAAAGATCGATGTTTTAGGATCTGGAAGCGAAGCAAGTGCTGAAGGTGCGGTGCCAAAGGCCGAAGGACATGACACTGAACTCGTAAGTTCCAAATTTAGTTTTATACTCGTCGCTTTGTATTAATAAACTTAATTATATCAGCTGAACACCGTATCCGGCACCGGCGTTGAGGGTGAAGAAGCTTCCGTAAGTTTTGCCAGATCATTGCAGAGTGCAGTCACTTAAGTTAAGGAGTTTAGGGACAAGTCGAGGGGCAAGCTGCTTCAAACCTAACCGCTGCGGAAGGAGGACCGACTGGCTCACAAGCGACTTTAGCCGCTGGAATGGCCATGGCAGGCTCAACACCATGTAGAGCCCTTCTGCTTTTTTTGTTTTTATGATTTGAAAAAGTTAGAGTATTTCAGTACCTTCTGGGATACCTGAAGAAGCAGGCACGACACCAACAGTCGAAGGGGCTGAAATTCCACAGGCAGGTGTTACTGGGGAAGGAGTACCTGCAGCACCTGCAGCAACTGAAGCACCTTCCTTAAATGCTACTGTAGGAGGTGCAGGAAGTCCCTTAGTTTTAACCAAGACGCAGGATCCCGTAGTTTTGAACGTTTTGAAAAATGGTTAGATTTTTTTGTTGTTGTGAAGTCCAAAAATCATGC